CTGAGCAGGGCAAGAGAAAATCTGTTCCAGGTCCCTCTCCTGGCATCTAGCCTGCAGTTGGGTACTCCCTGTGTCTTCACATTTTCCCTCTGTGAACTTCTCTGGGTCAAAATCAGTCCTGTTGGATTAGGTCCCATCCTAATGGCCTTACCTTAGTTTGGTCATTTGGAAAAAAAACTTTGTTTTCAAATAAGGTCACATTTACAGGTGCTGGGAGTTAAGACTGCAGCAACCATTTTAGTGGGGGACACATTTCAACCCATAACACCTGCCCATCCACAAGGGTTTCCAGAGACGTGAGGGGCTGAGGCTGAAGCACCAGCTGAGGGGCTGAGGCCAGGCTTCAAGTGGTTGTTGGTCTCGTGGAGTGAGCTAATATCTCAGAAGGGAGGGCCCAGAGCCCATTCTTCCTCCCGCCCCTGCCCCTCAGAACCGCCTTCAGTATATGTGACCAGCCGTGGGACCTCTTGGCAGGAAGCAGTGGTGCGGTGCCCAGCCCTGTGTTTCTTCCTCTGTGCTACCACAGCGATACCAGTTCTCGCTAAAGGGTCAGGGCGGCCTGCGCTCAGACCACGGAGGGGGCCAGCCCAGCAAGAATGGAACCACCATTAACACGTGGAGTAAGGAGTGAGGTTGTCAGGGTCGGTAGCCCTGGGTGGGTCTGGCATATTTGCCGAAGCAGATGGTTGGGACAGAGGACCCAGACTCTCACACCCTGGGGAGGGGCGAAAAGAAGCGAGCAGTTAAGTACGTGGAACCTCAAACAGAGCCTTCATCGGACTCCAGGAACACCACTGCTCAGATGTCCATGTTAGCAAGCATTTTGGCCATGGCTGCCATTGGAGTTCTTTGGAAAAAGCTATTCTAATCGGGTAGGAAAGCTAAGAAGAAGCACAGTGGGGCTTGCTGTCAGTGTCTTCTGCATGGCCGGCGTCTGGAGCCGCAGATCAGACAGCATTTACTGTCCCCATATCACTTCGTGGAGAGTGAGAGCTCATCCCTGGCCGTTTGCTGTCCAGCAAGTGGGGTGGAGAAGGCCTTCAATCCTCCAGGCCCCCCTGTTTCTGCCAGAGAACGCATGCACAAAGGAGTGTGTGCGTGTGTGTGCCTACTCTCCGTATCCCTCTCTGCCACCGTAGCCCACTCTTATTCCACCTTTGCAGACTGCCTTTCTAATTAGTTACATGCGTATTTTTGGTTGAAAATGTCCTTCAGAGAGAGAATGTCCTTGTTTTGCATTGCATGTATTTTTAATTTACTAAACTAACGTCTTTGGTTTCTTACAGTACCCTATGGTGCAGTTGTCCCATTTTACTCATTTTACTCTCTCAGTGAAGGGTATACCCTATGTGCCTGCTCCTTCTGGTCACACACAGACATGTACCTTGAAGGATACATTTGAGAAAATCTTTACAAAGGGTGCCCGGGAACGGAATTGAAGCCCCAGTCTGCACTCCCATATCCACACAAACACTGGGCAGTATTCAACTTTGTAATTTGTTAATGCCCTAAGAGACAAAATTATATATACCTTTTCGTTACCTTTTTTACCAAGTGCTTTGGATTTTTCTTATGTAAGTTTCTCGTTCATTTTTTTCCACTCATTTCTGATTTGGGGTTTCTGTCTTGGTCTTCTTGATTTAGAGGAGTTTCTTTTCTGTTCTAATTACTAACCCTTCTGTCTGTCTCCAACATCGTATAAAACTTTCTGCCATTCCATCAGCTATTTATTAACTTAATCCACGGTATCCTTCATTGAACAAGAATCTTTAATTTTGATATATGCACTTTCAGGAACTAGATCAATGAAATAGAACTGAGAGTCCAGAAATAAATCCTCACATACACAGTCAATTGATTTTTGACAAGGGTGCCAGAATAATTCAATAAAGAAAGAATAGTCTGTTCACACATGGTGCTGGGACAGCTGAATATCTGTGAGATGATAGGAAATATATGTTGGACTCCCCCTCAGTACCTAACACAGGGCTCCTAAAATCCTTATAATTTCCTGGTTAATAGGAAATTGTTCTTTTGTTCTAATGAGGTGACTCTGGTGGGTTCCTGGTGGCTCCTGGATGAGGGTCACCAGAAAGACCAAGCCATGAATAGAAGCTTCGAATACTCAACCTCCCCCGACCCCGCCACCATCCTCCAGAGAGAGGAGGGGGGCTGGAAATGGAGTTAATAATTGATCATGCCTGTGTGAGAAGCCTCTATAAAATCCCAATAGAATGGGTTTTGGGGAGTTTCCAGGCTGGGGAAAGGCATCCACGCCAGGAGGGTGACGCACCCCAGCTCCACAGGGACAGACGCCCCTGTGCTCAGGACCCTCCCACATCTCTCTTTATGTATCTCTTCACCTGGCTGTTCATCTGTGTCCTTTATCATATCCTTTAATAAACAGGTAAACCTACATGTTTCCCTGAGTTCTGTAAGCCATCCGTTCTAGCCAGCTAACTGAACTTGAGAAGGGGGTCACTGGAACTTCTGACCAATAAATAACCCATTTGTCAGAAGCACAGGTAACAATGTGGCCTTGAGATTGGCATGTGAAGAGAGGGCAGTTTCATGGGGCTGGGCCCTTACCTGTGGGATCCGGCACCACCTGCAAGTAGAGAGTATCAGGATTGAATCAAATTGTAGGACACCCAGCTGATGTTGTAGAGAATTGCTTATTGTTATGGGGAACTCCAACCATTTGCTGACCAGAAGAGTCAGAAGTCAAGTGTTTTGTGTGAGTAGTAAAAGAGACACACAGGATAGAAAACACAACGCAGAAGAACTGTTTTTTTCCCCCCATACACGAAGGAAAAGCTGAGATTCTTCCTTTACACACATGAAAAAGAATAAAGTTGGACCTCAACCTCATACCATATCCAAAAATTAACTCCCAAAATGGATCAAAGACATAAATATAAGAACTAAAACTACAAATACTTAGAAGAAACCATAGGTATAAATCTTCATGACTTTGGATTTGGCTATGATCTCTTCGTTATGACACCCAAAGTACAAATAACTAAAGAAAAATAATAGATAAATTGCACTTCACCAACGTTAGCAGGTATCTTGCCTCGAGGCATACCATCAAGCAAGGAAAAAGACAACACACTGAATTGGAAATTCCAAATCATACATCTGGTACAGGACTTTATCTAGAATACATAAAGGACATTTACAACTCAATGAGAAAAAGCAAATAACCCAGATTTTCAAATGGCAAAGGATCTGAATAGACATTTCTCCAAAGAAGTTTTGCAGATGGCCGCTAATCTGGTAAAAAAAAAAAAAATGTTCAATATCACTAGTCATAGGGAAATGCAAATCCAAAGTGCAATGAGGCACTACTTCTCACTGACTAGGATGGCTAGCATTATAAAGATGAACCATAAGAAGTGTTGGCAAAGGTGGAGAGAAATCGGAACTGTCATTCACGGCTGATGAGAGCGCGAAATGGTGTAGCCACTTTGGAAGACAGTCTGGCGTTTCCTCAAAAGGTTAATTAAACATAGAGTCATCATATGACGCAGCAATTCCACCCCTAGGTGTACACCCAAAAGAAAATAAAATATAAGTCCACACAAAAATGGGTACACAAGTGTTCAGAGCAGCATTATTCCTAATAGGCACAAAGTTGAAATCATCTAGTTTTCATCAATTGACGAATGGATATGGGGTCTAATGGAATACTGTTCGTCCACGAAAGAGAAACGTGAAAACATTATGCTAAATAAAAGAAACCAGTCGTGAGGAACCACATATTCTAGGATTCCATGTGTATAAAATGTTGAGAAGAGGTAAGTCTATTGAGACAGAAGGTAGATTAGTGACTGCCTTGGGTGGGGTGGGAGCCATGGAGGAATTAGGAGGTGCGGTCTAAAAGGTACAAGGTTTCTTCGTGGAGAGGATGAAAAATGTTCTAAAACCGAGGTAATAGTTAGTTACATGCCTTTGTGAAAATACAAAAACTCACTGAATTTTACACCTTAAGTGGATGAATCGTATGGCACGTGAATTAAATCTCGATAATCAAGCTATTACCAAGAAAAAGAATATTACAGTCAACCCCAATGTTCTCATCAACTGTATTCAACATTTCAAATCCCCCTACAGTTAGGCCCCAATTTCCAAGTCTGATTTTTTTTCTTAGATGGCCAAAATTGGCATACATGCTTAAAAAGGCATTGCTCATTGGATTTATTAGCGGTTTAAAGGTTTTTAGGAAAATCAGATGTATGACATTCGTTAATATGTTTTGAAATATCTAAAGCAGTAGTTCCCAAACTTTGGGTGTGTGTGTGGTGGGTTGTGGGGGGTGGGGGTTAAAATTCCAATCCCCAGGTAGCACAGCACACCAATTAAATCAATAGCTGACGGTAAAAGCAGGGCATCAATGGGTTTAATGATTTTCTAGGTGATTCCAGTGTTTTGTAAAGTTCGTGAAATTTAATTTAACTATGAAAATGTGAAAGATGTTTCAGTAGGTTCTAATATATTAAACTTAGGATTTAATTATTTCTAATGTGGGAATAAAATGGAAGTTTTACACAAAAACCGTATTTTTACGTTCAATAACAAGATCGGGCAGCTGAACTTAAACACTTTGAAAATGTATCGCTAATTTTTAAATTACTATTTAAATATCGAATATCAGAAATTAAGCTTTTCAGGTCGGACCATTGTTAAGCATACTCCCCCCCCCCCCATCAGCCACGTCCCCTTAGGCCTGGAAACCCGCAGGGACAGCTGGGTCACTGAGTGTTTCACAAGCCAGTGCTCGGGCTGCAGGAGAGTTCAAGTTCAGCAGGCGCGTTTCTTTTCAGCCCCAGCCCGGAAAAGGATCGCACTGGCCAGGAAGTTTTGTCTGGAATCCCCGCAGCCCGGGCGGCGACTCCAGGGTGACTTGCTCGCCATGCCCGCGTCGCCGCCGCTCGGAGGCGGGTGAAGCTCCTGCACGCGCGGCGCGAGCCGGAGAGACGCGCGGCCGCAGCGCCGAGATGGGCCTGGGAGCGCGGCGCGCGCTGCTCGCGCTACTCCTGCTGCGGACCGTGGCCGCGCTCGGGCGGCCGCCGCGTGAGTCCGGGCCGCCGGGGGACGGGACCGAAACCAGCTTTGCTGAGCCCCTGGGGTGGCCAAGGGCGGAGGGGGGGGACGCCTCGGCCCCGAGCGCAGCCTGTCCCCGACTCTCCCGGGAGGGGCTCCGCCGCCGGGTGCGGGCGGGTTTGCGGGTCCCCTCGCCCGGGACCTGTGCGTCCCCCACCCCCGCTGCAGCTCCCCGGGGTGGCGCTCGGAGCCCCTACCCGCCCCCTCCGCCGACTGTGACGCTTTCACTACTTTTAACTCCATATCTGTGCGTTTCTCATCCAGGCTGAGCTAGGATCCCCGGGCCCTCGGACTCCGAGCTGGGTGCCCTCGTTCTGCTTTGGGCCATGTCGTGTTTTCTCCTGTCGTCCCCAAACAGGAAGTTCTTCTCCCCAAAGACGACGTGGGCCCGGCCGGGGTGTTGACGCTCAGGGCTGGCGGAGGGCAGCAGGCCTCGGCTGAGCGGGGTCCCTCTCCGCACCACCCCCCGCACCCGGTTGGGGGCGCTGGAGCAAGCGGGGAGGCTGGGCTTCCTGCGTCCCTCCTCCCACCTCTTTCCAACTCGGGGTCGGGGGAGGCTCCCGAGACAGATCTGACCCGGGCCTTACTGACTCTTGGCGGTCGGTTATTCTTTTGCCTGGAAAAACTGTAGTTTTTCATCATAACTGTGATTTCTGGACTTTTGAACTGAACGGAAGAGTTCTCATTTTCAGCCGGGGGTGGGGTGTTGATTTGCAACGTTAATCGTACTATACATAACTAACGGGTTTTTACTAAAGGATGCCAACGTGATAACTAACATTTAACTCAGTTTTAAATCACCTTCGTCTCTGTGATCTGGTTTGACTCCACTAAGCATTGGGAGGTAGGAACCAGTCATAGGGCGATTTTACCAGTGTTAACTGGCCCTCAGGTTAAATTCCTTCCCCAGGTTAGAAAGAACGTGGGATCTGGTTCTCTGATGAAAAATGAAATACTGCCACTGTTCCTAATCTCAGGTGACCGTGACTCTTTGCACACCTTCTTCTACACGGTCTGAGAACACCGCTTGGAGGGTAGGTCGTATGTGTATCCACACTATAAAGATGACAAAAATGAGGCATGACCTGCTCATGGGTAATTTTGTTCCACGTTACCCTGGGCTTTTGAGGCAGAACCAGCGCCTCCATGGCTGTGATTCGTAAATGTCACACCACAGTGGAGGTTGAATCCTCAATTTGATGTGGAACAGAGATATTTGTTGTTCACCCGTAGAAAGGGAGTAACAGAGCGTGAGTTGCACTGTTCTGGACCCCGGGGAGGTAGCAGGGAGCCAAGTCCTTGCCCTCTGGTATTTTGCGTTCTCTTGGGGAGATGACAGTAAACTAACAAGAGGACCCAGAGCCCCAGGTAGCGGCAGGAGCTGTGGAGACAGGTGAGGTGGGGAGGCTAGGGCACGCTCCTCTCAGGCTGGCCGTGGAGCTGAGAGCTGAAGGAAACAGGGCTGGTGCCAGCTGGAAGCTTCCCAGACGAGCTGAGTGGACCCCACAAGTTGAGTGGAAGCAGGGACTGCAACCTCGGGGAAACTGACCCCTGTCTGTGGTGGGGACTGTTGTGTGCATCATAGGATGTGCTTTACTCACGGGATGTTAGTAGAAATCCCCCGGTCACAGGTGTCTCCAGACGTTGCCAAGCGTCTGCTGGGAGACACAGCTTCCCAGTTAGGAGCGGCTGGGGTGCAGCACGAGCGTAAGGACCAGAGGCCGGGACTCGTCAGGGGCTCAGCCACAGGCCACAAGCCAGGCCTCCTAGGACCTCGCGGGCTGCCGTGTGGGTTCCAGCTGAGGACGGACATGATCTGGCACAGCTTTGGGAAGGATTGCTCTCGCAGGTCTGTAGGAGGCAGGGGTGAAGGAAGTCGCAGTCAGAGCCGGGGAGCAGCCAGGAGACTGTTGCCGGGTGCGGGCCGGACGCGGGGGGGCCGGGCCTGGGGGCGAGCAGAGGCGGAGGAGAGCAGCATCCTGGATGTATTCAGGAGGAAGTTGCCGAAGGATCCCGGCGCCGTGCGAGAGAAAGAGAAAAGTCAAAGGCGACTCTGTTCTTTAAAAATTATTTTATTATTTTAAACATTTTATTGGCCTGAGCAATGGGGTGATAGGTGATGCCATTTCTGAGATGGGGAAACAGAAGAAAGAGCAGCTTGGGGGAAATCAAGAGTTAAACTTAAGTTTGATTTTTCCAATTCCTCATCCAACTGGTGGTGTCCTGTCGGCAGTCGGGCGTAAGAATCTGGAGTTCAGGGCCAGAGATGAAAACCAAGGAGCTGCCATCGATCCATCTAATAAGGATGTACTGAGCTCCTAGTACAATGCCAGGCGTTGTTCTAGGCCTTGGGCGTTCATCAGCGGAAGGAAAGGAAACTCTCACTTGCTCTTACTGGGGCTTCTTCCGTGTTTGCTCTGAAAGTGTCTTAGTTATGGATCAGCAGATCTGCCAGCATTTCACGGCAAACATTTGCGCAGGAAAGAGACGGGCGTCATGGAAAAAACCCAACAGTGAATTCCTCTGCACTTGGATCTAATTCGCCCTGAGCATCAACTCCTGAGCTCGGCTGCCCCAGCGAGAGACCCTTTGGGATCTCAGAGAGTTTGTGGGCTGCAGGGGAGATTGCCCTAAATGTGGGAAGTGGGGCAGAGGCTGGGAGCTCCGAGGGGGGTGGTGGCAGCGCCCCGGGGGGTGAGAGCACCCAGGCCTGTGGCGGGGGGCGGAGAGGCCCTGCAGCGCACGTGCGGTGGGGTGGGCCCAGACACAGCTGGTGCTGTGTGTTTGATCCAGCAGGGCTGTGGCCCCTCCGCCCCCCAACCCCGCTTGCGGCCCACAGAGCTGTCCTCTTGCCTTCCCCCCCCAGGGTCCCATTCTCTGCGCTACCTCTTCATGGGTGCCTCGGTGCCGGACCTTGGGCTGCCCCTGTTTGAGGCCTTGGGCTATGTGGACGACCAGCTATTTGTGTCCTACAGTCACGAGAGTCGCCGTGCAGAGCCCCGCGCCCAGTGGGTCCGGGGTGGGGCCGCCAGCCAGCTGTGGCTGCAGCTGAGTCAGAGCCTGAAAGGGTGGGATCACATGTTCATCGTCGACTTCTGGACCATCATGGACAATCACAACCATAGCAAGGGTACGTGGAGAGGGCGCTCTCCTTTCCGAGGTGGGCAGAGCACATTCCTGTAGCTCCAAGAAGATGCCTCTGGGCGAGCAAGCAGGGAGTCTGAGGTCCTGGGGGAGGAGGGAAGGAGTCTGCGGTCCTGGGGTCCCTGGGGATGGATGGTGAGACAGGGACTTACTCCTTTGGTTTCAGTAACGAAGCTCGGGGTGTTGTCAGAGTCCCACACCCTGCAAGTGATCCTGGGTTGTGAGGCGCAAGAGGACAACAGCACCAGGGGGTTCTGGAAGTATGGGTACGACGGGCAGAACCATCTGGAATTCTGCCCCGAGACGCTGGACTGGAGAGCAGCAGAGCCCAAGGCCCAGGCCACCAAGCTGGAGTGGGAAGTGAACAAGATTCGGGCCAAACAGAACAGGGCCTACCTCGAGAGGGACTGCCCCGAGCAGCTGCAGCGCTTGCTGGAGCTGGGGAGAGGGGCCCTGGACCGGCAAGGTATGGTGGGAGCGCCCGGTCTGCCTGCAGACTCTCCCAGTGCAGCGGCGGCAGATGCGGGGCGAGGTCCGGGCTGCACTTTCCAAGGGGGCCAAGGTCACGCGACTCTCGGGGAAGGTGCTGAGGTCTGAGGTCTCCGCCTTATAACTGAGATGTAGGACCCAGCCAAGGGGCATGGTTCTAGGGTTGTTTTTTTTTTTCCCTACATGTGACCGAAGAAGTATCTGTGATCTTTTGATTTAACCGAGAACCCTGTGTATATTTATACCTTTTAGGAATTTCAGAGATGTCAATTATCACATGAATGCCAAGCCAAGCGATTACCAAAGGAGGCAACCAGGCAGAGTAGCAGAATCCTTTGGAGGTTAAAGGTTACTTTCACAGAACAGAGAGAGAGTCCCTGAGGGCTTCCAATCTTCCAGGGCCCCTTCTTACAAGAATCCTTACTGGGTTGAGCCAGGTAGAATGAACCAATAGGGCTTAGTCAATCAAATCCACAAACAGGGGAATTTCATCTGATTCCATTTACTGTATTGACAAAGGACAGAAGCCGTGAGCTGCAGGTATGCATATTTATATACGGGACAGGAGCATGGGCTTGACTGTCTACCATGTAGCAGCCCATCACAGCGGACTCCTGCAACATGGTTTAGGACACAGTATAGATGACTCATGCAGCTGCATCGGCATAGGGTTAGCTTCTTCCTCTAACCCATAGAGAAAGGGAAGTGAAAGTTCCAGTCTTCTTGGCAAGGGTAGAAGGCTCCCCTCTCCAGATCCTTCCTCCTTCCTGTCCAGTGCCTCCTTTGGTGAAGGTGACTCATCACGTGGCCTCGGCGGTGAGCACCCTACGGTGTCAGGCTCTGAACTTCTACCCCCAGAATATCACCATGAAGTGGCTGAAGGACAGGCAGCCGCTGGATGCCAAGGACGTTGAGCTGAAGGACGTTTTGCCCAACGGGGATGGGACCTACCAGGGCTGCGTGGCGTTGGCCGTGCCCCCTGGGGAAGAGCGGAGATACACCTGCCAGGTGGAGCACCCAGGCCTGGATCAGCCCCTCACTGCCACCTGGGGTACGGATGAGAGCAGGGGGGCGGGGGGGTGGAAGAAGTCCATTGTGGGTGGAACCAGAGGGGTCAGCATGGCAGTGAGGGGAGGGTCTGAGCTGGGCTGGGGCCACAGTCCCAGCTTTCACTTGCTCTTGCTGTTTTAGAAGCCCCGGTGCCTGGCACCCTGCTCACTGGAGTCATCAGTGGGATCGCTGTCTGCGTCATCCTCTTTTTTATTGGAATTCTGTTCAGAATCTTAAGGAAAAGGCAGGCTTCGAGTGAGTAGGAAGAAGGAGGAAATCTCTCAGTTCCTCTGACCCCAGGACACACTAATGCATCAGGAAGTGGGCTGAGGGAGGGCGAAGGGGATTTGGTGTTCATCCGAAAGAAGCCTGTTCCTCTTTTTCTCTTTGGGAACACGGGTTCCGCCCCGGGAGCAGGAATGAATTGTTTTCCTCAGAATGAAAGCTCCAAATTCAACGAACTTCTTTTGAGCACCTACTGTTTTGCGAGATCCTGCTTAAAGTAGTACATGGGCTTTGAAGTTGGGTTCATTGCTGTTGCTATTGTCAGAACCCACATCTAGAAGGGAATGAAATCTGTAGCACAAGTAAACACAGTTAAAGGAGAGCCCCTAAGGTCCTAAGACAGACCATTCTTGGGTGTCAAAGGAAGGAATGGCCGTGACCTGCTGAGGCTCCACCAAGGGTTCTGGGCCTTGAGGTAGATGGCTTTAGGAAAGGTTGCGGACAAGGGGGGGGGTGTCTACCCAGATGGGGCAGCCATGCACATGGCAGAGCAGGAGGCGTAGTGGGAGGTGAGAAATGACTGAGCCTCCGCCTGTCCGTCACCAGGGTGCGCGCCTGCCTCCTGAGCATCTGGGGGTGGGGGGCGGATGGAAGCCAGCCAGGCGGAGCTCTGGGGGCCTTGAGGATGCCAGGGAGCCCTGGGAAGTCAGTGCAGCGACACGGTCTGGGCAGTTGGAGAATGAGTGTCAGGAGGTGAGAAGAGAGGCAAGGAGCCAGCTGGAGAGCTGGTAAGCAACTCCAGGTGAGGGATGATGGTGCTCTGGGAAGGGGGTGGCCCCAGTTGAGGTGAATGGATGTGGGAGGTGAGGGCCAGGGACTAGGCAGCAGGGTCCTCGGGTTTGCGATGCCCCTTTTCTGTCTCGTCTCTGCAGGAGGAGCCTTGGGGGACTACGTCTTGGCTGACTGACAGCCTGCAGACCCCTTGTGGGGGACAGACAGCCTGCAGACCCCTTGTGCGGAGGAGACGTGGAGACTCAAAAGAGAGGGCGCCCCTGTGGCCTTCATCGTGTTCCAGGGCAGAATGGGACTGAACGAACATGAACTGCCCCAGGAACTCTCTGCTTGCGGCCTGCCATGTTCATTTTTGAGAAGTTTCTCCCATTTCGGTTTTTGAGTTCCTATGTGCCAACGAGCCGCAGCGCCGGCCTCTGGGCAGAATCAGCTGCCTTGAAGCTCAAGTTGCCTCTAGAGACTGCCTTCATTTCTGCATCACTTCCAGCTCCGTCTGCCCATGTCATCTCATCCCTTACCTCTGGAATAACGCTCCTGAAATTTGGGAGACTCACGGTTCCTTTCAACATCTGAGAAAAACAATGAGCTCTCTCCTCGGGACATAACACTCTCATGCCCTTACCAGAATTTTGCACACACATCCAGGCATTTCCTAGGCCCATCCGATTTCCTTTTGATCCTCTCTCTCTCCGTTACCCAGTGATTCACCTGTCACCAAGCCCTGTGGTCTCTTCCATCAGAGGGTGAAGTGGGTCATTGTACAGTGGTGAAGGCTGTGCACTGTACAACCCATGGAGACACCCTCAGAAGAGCCATTGTGGATGCCTGTGTTTATTCATGATAGTTTTCCAGAAAGTGGGCCCGAAATGTCTTGAGGAGGGGTATGCTTTTCTAACTGGCAGCAAGGTGACACATAGGTTTCCCCAGAGTCACGATTTACACGAATGCATTCACAGTGCCTCTCTGGTGTGCCAGGCTTGAAGTAACGCAGTCATTTCCTACTTGGATTCTGCTAATGAAATGATAATGAAAGTGATCCTAAGGATGATGATGGTGATGATAAGGTGGCTGACACTTATAAAAAAAAGCACTTGCTGCCAGACTGAGTTCTGAGCACCTGCTTACATTATGATTCTTACCATAATTCTCTGATATAAGTACTATTATCCTCATGGGTTTTTTAGGTGAACAAAATGAAGTAGAGAGTATCTCACAGCCTTCCAGGGCTAGAGACAGGTTTCAGCTCAGTCAGTCTGACTCTGATCCATCTCACATGCCGCGGCATTAGATGCCTCAGATGTGCCAGGAAATGGGGGGGTGAGGCGGGTGGGCACGGCTCTTCTGTGGCCCCAGTGTCTTCATTCTCAGCGAGCTTGACCAAAACGAAGGGAAAACAGCAGAAAATAACCTCAGCCATTTCCTTTTGAAGTTTCTGTGGAAAGAAATCCAGCGTGTGGCCGGCTTACTCTGTTGCCACCCCCGGTCCGCTCTGTCTGGCACATCTCTCGGGCCCCCAGGTCCGGACGGGGATCGGTGGTGTCCCTCAGTGGATGTGTTGGACCCCACAGTGTTTTTGCTCCGCCCGCACCTCCAGAGTCAGAACCCTGGTGGCATTTCCCTCTGGGAACGGGAGTGACCGTCTGTCGTATTAAAGACGGTAAAACGGATGCCACCGAGAGGCCTAGGGGTACCCTGGCGTGTTCCCGGGGCTCCTGGGAGTCTGGTTCTCTTCCCCAACTGTGCACATTAAGAAACTCATCTCACCAGACTGCTCAGGAATTACTGCATTCTGGGAAAGTAATTCATCTGACCATGCTCAAAAGAATACTAACACAGACACCCGGATGGCCGGTGTTTCCTTTTGTTGCTATGTACATTTGGCCGTATAACTGACAACAAGGCATTCTGTCTCCCAGGGCAGGTGCCTCAGAAGACCAAATAAAGCTCAACGGTTTGTTTGGTAGTTATTGAATTTGGGCAAAGAGATCTCGACAATTTTTTTTTAAACTTTTCTTTTTTTTTTCTGGTTACGAAAGTTAGGTGGATAAAAGTACATGTAATTTGTGCTTATTGTCAAAAAGTTGAAAATGAGTTAAATTGAAACTATCATTCCATTAGCTAGTGATAAACCCTATGATTGATCTGTGTATTTCCTCTCAGTGTTGCTATATTAAAATATATAAAATCAACAAATACACTTTAATAAGCATACAATTAATTGTGTGGTGTACTGTATGATTTTTTTTAGGGGGCGGAAGGGTAGAGGGAGAGAGAGAGAGAGAGAATCTTAAGCAGGCTCCACGCCCAGTGCAGAGCCCAGCACAGGCCTCAATCCCAATCACAACTTCAGCCAAAATCCAGAGTCAGACGCTTAACTGACTGAGCCACCTAGGTGCCACGGTATGATTTTCCTTAGGTACTTATCGATGTTATGGATTAATCAACTTAATCATTGGGTCATTTGTGGGACATTGATATGCTTCCGATTTTTTTACATTTTGTTTTATGGAATATCTTCATTAAACTCTGGTAGCTGAATTAGTTGTTTTTCCTCACTCTAGAAACGTTATCATCTAAGGGGTTACGTGTTGGTTATTTTACTTCCAAACCATATTGGATATCATTCTGTACTCAGAACAACTGCCCAAAAGGTTCCCTTGCTCTTCTAGCTCATTAAGGATACATTACAACTAATTAGGGAATGGTGTGTGTTATATTGGTTTTCTTTCACACAGACTGAGATTTCAAGAAACACCTGTCTTCACAGTGGGACTTTCACTAACCATTGGCGAGTGTGGCCTGTTACTTTTCTTTTTATATATGCATATTTTAAAGATTTTATTTATTTATTTGAGAGAGAGAGTGAGTGAGAGAGAGCATATGCCAGGGGGAGAAGCAGAGAGAGAGGGAGAAGCAGAGGGAGAGGGAGAAGCAGAGGGAGAGGAAGAGGGAGAAGCAGGCTCTCCCCTGAGCAGGAAGCCTGGCGCAGGGCTCGATGGATCCCAAGACCGTGGGATCATGACCTGAGCCCAAGGCAGACGCTTAACCTACTGAGCCACCCATTCTTTTCATAATGGAAGTTATAAACCTCTATTTTCTTTCAGTGTTTCTTAGCTTAATTTTTCTTCCCTTGTTCATCAATACTTAAGATCAACTACATTTGAAAAATCAAAGACCTACATTTTAAATTCTGGATCCTATTTGGCCTCTGGCAAAAGCACCCACAAACAAAGCCCGGTCGTGTGAAGAAGGGTGCCACCTGGTGGCTACGATCGGAAGTGTCACAGTGGTCATGTGACTGTCTAGCCCGGGGGCGGGGGTCTTCCTGCAGGGCTAGGGAGAGAGAGAAGAGGTTGGCGCTGGAGATTTTTGTGGAGAAAAGCCCCTGAGAATTTGAGGAAATAAGAAACGAGTCACCAGCTGGTTTGATCACAGGGCACTGTTGAGCTGCCTGAACTGAGAACAGAACAGAGGAAGACCTTTGGAAATCTTTGTAGTTCAGGTGCAGCTTAGGTTGAGACCTGCTGGGAGGTAGAGGCAGACATTCTTGCTGTGTCTGAGTAATATGGTCTTACAGGGCTGAGTGGGCTTGATGCACTACGAAACATTCTTCATGTCCACACACATACACCTTCGAAAACATAACGCCTTCTCTAAAATGTTGGAAAATTCTTAAAAGCTACCATTTTTAAACTATAATTTTTTTTCTAATCACACTCCAATCTAATAATGACTAGAACTCAAGAATGCATGACTTTAAACATTTAAGATTTTCACATCGATGGACAGGTATTTGGGGTTTTGATTTCTTTCTGTAGACTTTGGGTCATCTTCATTTTTCTTTTGGAATCAGTGTTAAAAGTTAGAATGTCAACTCATTATTAATGATCTTGTGTGACGATTTCATTACAAAGCCTGGGTTGACTTGACATCCTGCACGCATGCCTTCCGTTGCATGACTATTTTCTAAAACTATTTTTTTTTTCAGCTAACAATGAGTATGTACTTACCAGATGCCAAGCCTTGTTCCGGATATTGTTTCTGAAGAATCCGGTGAAGTAGGAACCATGGTTATTTCATTACCCTTATTTTGTTGTATAGAAACCAAAGCACAGAGAGGTTACATAACTTGCTGAAGCTTACACAGCTAGAAAATTATTGTGCTCGATTTTTATTCTAGCTCGTCTGGCTCGGAGTCAAGCTCATAACCGCTATTAAAAAACCTGTTTCTGTGTCAAGAAAACATGTAGTGTGGCATTGTTATCTCTTTGGGATGCTCCTGGTGGCAACACCTCTGATGTTTGCTGCAGTGAGGAGGGAATCTGTTTTAACATTTCAGAATTTGCCATATCCCTATAACTTTTTCATAAATATTTGGAAACATTTTCTTTACGTGTTTTTTTAATTTAAGGATTTTTTCTGTTAATAAACAAATTTCTAATGAATAAATTTACATTTCTATTTATTCTCCTTCTCATTAAGGGAGAAATTTGGGTATGAGTAGCCTTGAAACACCTGTGAATCATTTTATTCACCAGATTGGGGTAGAAACTGTTGTTGCTGTTTGTGGGGGTTTTTTTAAGTACTGTTATTTTTTACATATAAGATTCTAGCTTTTGATCCAAAGAGTCTAAAAAAGAGTTTTGGAGTCTTCTGTGTACTTGGGGTGGGACAGGGTGGAGGTGGGGTAGGTAAGTATCAGTATCTGTATAAACCCCAGCGTTAAGTCTCAGTTAACCTTACTCTAGGGTTGATTAAATGCCCTGAATTTTATTTCTTAAACAGTTACCACAATGGCATTGTCATAAAACAGGGAATAACCAACTTTGATACTGCCAAAACATCTTGACAATGTGTGCAAAGAGAGCATCTGTTTTAAATATGAATGTAACAGTTAGTGGTCTTTTATATGTTTGGAATCACAGTTTCACCATTAAAACAAGCGCAAAATACTTGTTGTGCTTTGTGTATGCAATTAGGAAGGTATTCAAGGAAATCTGAAAATCAATTTAATTACAGACATTTATATAAAAATTTTGAAACAAATAAATGTATAAGGAAGGATATCGTTAGAAATTCTCTGTCCAAAGAACTTTTTTTAAGTAGGTCAAAATACATTAAGAATGTTTATAGGAGCAAGCCCACACCAAGACAGCAGGCTGAGGAAGTATATAG